ATTATAACATTTAACGTTTACGTCACTAATGTCACACTTGTTACCGTAAAGTAAACTTTAGTGCAATTTCTCACACTCATTTTTTTTCTTGGCACTACAGCCCCAGTGGGCCTAGGCCTACCTCCATGAACTCCGTTCACTTCGGTTTTTCTAGATCTTAGACATACGGTAGGACTCCCTGGGCCGGTGATCAGCTCATCGCAAGGCCTCTACCTGTACACAACCACAGAAAAACGCACACAAACATCCATGCCCTGAGTGGGATTCGAACCCACGATCCCGGCATCCGAGCAAGCGAAGACAGTTCACGCCTTAGACCGCTCGGCTACCGTGACCGGCCTTTTCACATTCATAGGAGTAGAAATTATTTCGTATATATGTTTCTGTGGTCTAGTTGTCAAGAGTTCCTGGCTACATATCCAAAGGTCCCGCGATTGATTCCCGGCGCTACCAGATATTCTGAGAAGTAGTGAGTCTGGAACGGTGTCCATTCAGCCACGTGAGGATAATTGAGGAGCTACTTGAATTGAAAAGTAGTGGCTCCGGTTTAGAAACCCGAGATTATGGGCCGTGGGGATCCGTTGCGCTGACCATGTTACATTCTCTATCAGCAAAAGTTGGCACTAACTTCGCCGACAAGCGGCGGTATCTCGGTCGATATAGTTCGCTTGCGATCGACAAGATGTACCAGAATTCAGGAACAACTTTCTTTACAATATCTTCAACCGGATCGGTCAGTTGAAGGCCATTTGTCTTTTGTCACAAAATTGTCGGATCAATGCAACAGACTGCCATGAGTAGAGAGGATAATAGGAGGTCACAGGGCCTGTGCACACCACCGAACCAAGGACCTTCTCACCACCTGATGCGTTCCACTGAAGGAGGCATCAGTTTTATATTCGGGAAGGCGACAGGGGTTTCCTGAGTCACTGCATCTTCAGCTGTTGGCAAGATAGCCCTGTGTGTGCCCTGGTTTTCCTCAAAATTGCTGGGCCCACTTCTATATTTGATGCCACGCTCCTCCAGCTTCTTATGCCCAAATTTCTCATGTCCTATAACACACATGCTCCCCATCTCAATCTTAGCCTTCCACTCTCCTAGTTCCTTCTAGTTTGGTATTGAAAACCTTAATCATTCTATTTTCATTAGCACATATTAGGTGTGCACCCCATTTAAGCTTTTTCACTTTTATCGATCCAATAATATCTGGTTTATTAAATAGTTTGTATAGCTTAATGTTATACCTCTTCCTCCCTGTCCCCTTTTCTTCCCCGGTCCAAAATTATATCTCAAGATCCCGCTTTCAAAGATACGTATACTTGACAGTCTTTGATCCAGCCCTGACAATGGCGAGGTCTCAAATGCATAAGATAGCATTGGGCTTAAATGTACTTCGTACATCATAGTTGTAGTTTTCCTGGGTATCTAGTGAGACTCAGGTGTTTCATAAGCCTGTGGAGACATTTATGAGCCTTGAGGACACGCTTTTTCATCTCATCATTGACGTAATTTTACAGTTAACCTCTGATCCAAAACGAAAGTATGTACAACACCAATTTATATTAACCAATTTTTACATGTGCAGATCCGTTATTGCATTCTTTCTTAGTCACAAGCTTGTACTTTCTTTTATCTTGATTAATTTTCAGATGTATCTTTTTGCTGATCTTTCCAAATTAATAAAATCTTCTTTCATAGCTTTTTGTGTTCTTCCGATTATATCAATTTCATCTGCAAATGGCAATATCTGAACTGACTTATGAAAGATAGTTCCTCTTACATTAATGCTTTCGTCTCTATTTTATTTTCTCTACCGATATATTAAATTAAAAAATAGTTCCGGAGGATTGAAATCCAAGACTTATGTTCCCTATCCATAAGAAAGGCCGGTCACAGTAGCCGAGCGGTCTAAGGCATGCACTGTCTTCGCTCGCTCGAAAGCCGGGATCGTGGGTTCGAATCCCACTCAGGGCATGGATCTTTGTGTGCGTTTTTCTTTGTTTGTCTACCGGTAGAGGCCTTGCGACGAGCTGATCACCCGCCCAAGGAGTCCTACCGTATGTGTAAGATCGAGAAGAACCGAAGTGAACGGAGGAGTTCATGGAGGTAGGCCTAGGGCCACTGGGGCTGTAGTGCCAAGGGAAAAAAATCCATAAGAAAGGCTTAATCGTGGTATGGTCTAACTGTAGAGGCATTAGTCTGTTAGGCATTGCGTGTAAAATATTTTGAAACATTTAATTTAAGGCACATTTTGAGATTACCAATGTGGGTTTCGTCAAGGAACATCGACTGAACATAAGATTTTCACTATATGCCAAGTCCTTGAAAAATGTTATGAATTTTAAATTGAAACACATCATATTTTCATTTACTTTAGATCAGTCCATGACAGTATGGATATAAATAACCTCTTGATGGCAATAGAAAAGATTTACATTCCACGGTAGTTAATTTTGTTGGTCGGAGCGACTGTGAGAAGGATTCAATGCCAAATTAAGACCCAGAACATGTTGTCCAGCCCTATAATGTCCGGAAACAAAGTTTGACATGGGGATTCCCTAGCCTGCCTTTTGTTTAAGTATACTTTGACCATTAGTTGATATCGGCCCTGAACATATTCTGGATGCCAAATAACCCTGGCTCCAAATCTAGCACTAAATGTTATTTGTTCCATATGATACTCAAACTTGCTGCCTTAAGTATAACAATAAATATTCCCTCGAAATAACATCACTATTCATACCAATTGAAAGACTGCGAACAGATGAAATAAATTGAAATTTCTATGATCTACTCCAAATATGAACGATAATCGAGGCGATGACGTGGGTGTTTTTTCAATTTGCCTAATCCTTCCAGCCGCACCGTGGCCCTTGGATCGACTCAGCCACTAACAGAAATGAGTACCAGGAATATCCCTCGGGGGTAAAGTGCGGCCGGAGCGTAAGGCTGACGACCTCACCGCTATCTGTGAACCGATTGTCTAGAAAATGTGGGATCCTCAATATTTCACAACCCTCTGGGCCTCCACGGCCTGTTACAAGGATACCTTTACCTATATTTTCACGATCGATATCACTACAATAAAATAGGTATGTGTAAGAATTCCTCGGAAAATGAATGACAGTTTGGGCGTATTATCAAAAGGTTCGTCAGCCCTGACCTAGATTCTTTCGACTGATCTCCTTATAATTAATGTAAGAGTGCGGAAATATACATCTTTCGAACACTCACCGAGCATTCTAATTGCTATGGTGGATTAAATTACCATCACAACATTCGCTGAAGTCTTCCTTATGATGTTCATCTTGAAACAATCACGTGTGGGATGTCTATCAAGTTCATAAACACTTCTTACACCAGTGTAACGCGCGTCCAGTTCTTCTTTCCGCGACTGCTGCTAGATTCCAACTGTGTTTCTCCCCCTCAAACACTGACTCCTGTTCACACACTAACACTCGCTTGCTGCTCAGCCGGCTTTTATTCCGTTCGCTGTTGCCTGTTGCCCGTGTCAACATCAGCGTTGCCTGCCTCGTCACAGTAGGAAGCGGTGCCACGTAGCCAGCGGTGGGGGGCGGGAGGCGGAGCGCTGACTCACCTGCTATGTCACCGTGACCAGAGCTGCCACGTCACTGCTGGGGGGAGGGGGTATCCTCCATTGCGCAACACGTCACAGGATGAAGACACAAAAGCTTGTTGAACTGATCGTTGGCTGAAGAACACTTTAACACATTGAACGTTGTACTCAATGGCAATTCTCAACTGGATCTCAAAGTCAAAGTAACTATCTGCGTGACGGCCAGTCAATTGGTACTAAAAAATCCCACTCAATTTATCTCCTTATTTAAACTTGAGTCGGACCTATAGATAACACGCAACTGTCCATATTGTTGTAGGGTTTCCCTAGCAACGACTGAAATCTGATGCGTGTATACGGGAGTGGCAATATGTAAGAAAACAATTACGACTTTAAAAAAATATGCACCACTATTGCGATCGTGTTTTATACGGAGAGCAATATTTTGTGTTCAGTCTCCAGAGGTTACGGTTGTCTTATGTTGCAAAGGGAATATTACTCGCCTTAGGCATTATCCGGTAGCCTAATGCAATGCATTCAGTGAAGTGCATTACTCGCCACGATTTAAAGTTTGCAAGTAATTCAGTTGGGTGGAGACCATGGCGGAGGTGTTTAAGATAGGAGGTTGGGTATGATAAGTTGAAGCGGTAAAAACTGAATTCTGAGTGAATTTCAGTGATATATGTTATATATGGCTGTCTTTTAGTGTTAACTGATTGGCACATTTAATTTCAGGGCAAAAATGAAAGGATTTTCCCCTTGGCCAGGCCGGGTAAGTGTTTTATACTGTTAGTGCCTAACCGTTGAAGTAGTAGTCTTCCATTAAGTACGGTTAACATATCAGATTGGTCTAAGGTCTCAGGAAAGACCTCCAGAGAGACGTTATGCTGTCTCCAATAAAGCCGCTAGCCAAATTTGAAAGTCTCTTATGTATAATTGATATAAATAGTCAGTGCACATGGGATGTAAACAAACTAAAAAAAAAGGGTTCATGAGAGCGGGAATTCGTACTTCTAGGTTAGGAAAGGTTGATGCAGTAACGTGTAATGTTAGTATTGTATTTCACAGTAGCGTTCTTTATAACCATAATCGTCGCACAAATTTTGAAAACCAACACGTATAAATTTGTCTGATTTGACAACATCCGTGCGCATATTTTCGTTACGTTTTGAATGTAAGTACAGTGTGCCTTGCCCTGGTTACCAGAAGTTGAGTTGTTTGAGAGTGTAACAGTCAAGTAGCGCACTTCACCAAAGAAGTCAGTGGTGTAGGACTTATCCTAGACATATATTCAAAGTGACCAGTTTTATTCTCACTTGTTTAGTTTGTCAGTTTATTTTTTTTTTTTGGCAAGCATGATATAAGGTTCAAAACTGTTCTTCATGTATGATAATATAAGCTTGGGTCTGAAGTCTGCACCGTATATGAAAAGATGTATTTTTACACATAACAAATTTTATTGGTAAGGGTGGGAACTTCATATATTTCTTGCTCTTATGTACTACTTCTGTAACCTTGGGATTCCTGCCCTGTCCATTTAAAAACCAAAGGGTAGTGACTCATGAAAAGCGGGATTTAAGCACTTCAGTAATGTATATAGTTGCTGAAAACTTGTTGAGAGATTGGCTTGTGTCTGCAGGAAGTACCTCGGTGTGAATTTATATTAATATTTTCGCTGATTGTTATGCGACAGTGAAATAAAAAAAAAACATTTTTGATTCATGAGTGTGTTATTGAATGATGCTGTTGATACTGAGACTGTTGATGAAGAGCAGTTATTGAAAGAGAAGCAGTCAGTGGAATGAGAATTGACAAGGGTGACTGAAGTATTCGGAGAAAACCTGTCATAGTGTCACTTGTCCACCATAGATCCCTCATTCCCTTATCGGGGATTGAACCTGGGCTCCCACAACGGGAAGCCAGTGACTGATTGCCTGAGGTATGGTATGGCCTTGTCATGCTACTACCGTGTAAATAATTTTGTGTACTCCCTGCGTGTGAAAATTCCCATTTGAATCATGTATCTGATATTGATTCCAGTTTGCAGTTTGAGGCTTGTGTGAGCAGTGTGATGGATTTGAGTTCTGCTTCTTGTTATGTCCATCGAGTTGCTTTTTTTTTCTAGTCTTCGACATCTGGTTGATGTGTCAAATCGGATGATTCCTTTTTTTTTTTTACATATACAGCATGACATCCTCCCATGTCGTCTCTGGCATTGTTAGGACGCCCACATTTGTGGTGCTCATTGAGTTGCTTCAGGTGAAACTTTCACATGAGATGTAGTATGATGGAATGAACAATTAAGTGGATGTTCTTAAGTCACAGCTCTTGGGTCAGGGAAAGAATGAATACAGGTAGGAGGTTAAGGTCAGCTGCTTGCTCCTGCCATTTTACTTGCATTGTACGCCTTTCACTACTGAGAAAACATGAGAATTTTAAGAAGGAGAGCTGATAGGTGGAATGAAAGACAGAATACACAAATGACAACTGGTGGGAGTGGTGGGAGGAAAAGCACACAGAATGAAGGTAGCTGCAATACTGTGTCTGTACTCTCAGTTGTCTTACGTTCATTGTCTCCCTCCCCCTTTTTTGAAATTCTGCTTGTGCTATATGTACAGTTAAGTTAATGAAGAGCACCTCTGGTCTAGTGGTCAGAGTTCCTGGCTACAGATCCAGAGGTCCTGGGTTCGGTTCTCGGCGCTACCAGATTTTCTGAGAAGTAGTGGCTCTGGAATGGGGTCCACTCAGCCTCGTGAGCATAATTGAGGAGCTACTTGATTGGAAAAGTAGAGGCTGCGGTCTTTTGTTAGGATTTTGCCCCAACGGGTATAGGTTGTGGAGCCTATTTGAAAGAAAGATCATTTCAGCATGCGATGTTGTGTTTGATGAAAGTAGGACATCGTTCAAAGGAGAGTTAGGAAACGAGATTTATCAGTGTAAGTGAAGAAAAGCAAAATAGAGGTGATGAAGTAGAGGAGAGTGGAGAAGATAAGCTCAATATTGGGGAGAGAAATAGTCAGGTGGATACAGGAGTTCAGTTGATCAAAACCAAACAGAAATGGAGGAGACAAGGCTGGAAGTAAACACGAGCACTAGAATTCATAAGAGACCAGAGTATCTCGATGGGTACTCTACTGTAGTGATAACGGATGTGTATGAGCATTTAATATCCGAGGAAAGGAACAATAAGGTGGAGCTCGCTATGTTAACAAATATGCCAGATGATGGAAGGATAGATGATAGTTCAGAGTATGAGGTTGCGATGAGTGCTATTGCGTATTGTGAGGAGGTGCCAGAAAGCTATGAAGAGAGAGAAGTCAGGCCAGATAGGGGGAAATGGTATCAAGCAAAACAGGAGGAGATATCAGCTTTGAAGGAGAATGAGACATGGGAATTGGTGAAGCTACCTCCAGGCAAGAAGGCTATTAAAAGCAAATGGGTATTCACAGTAAAGTATAACAAAGAGGGAAAAATCGAACAATACGAGGCGAGATTAGTGGCAAAAGGGTGTTCACAAAAGGAGGGTCAAGACTACTCAGAGACATATGCACCAGTAGCGAAACTGTCAACTTTGAGGATTTTACTGAGTGTATCTAATAGTAAAAAGTTTTACATTCATCAGTTGGTTGTCAAGAATGCCTTTTTAAATGGTTTATTAAAGGAAGAAATTTACTTAGAAGCACCAGAAATCCTAAATGTAGAGAACGGGGTTTGTAAAGTGCGAAAAAAATCGTATGGGCCGAAACAAGCTCCGATGGAATGGAACTCAAGATATGACTCGTATGTGAAAGAATTGGGATTTAAGCAGTGTAGGACTGACAGATGTCTGTACGTAGGCAACTTTGACAATGTGTGCATGTACCTATTACTGTATGTGGATGATTTCATCATTGCAACAGATAGTCCAGAAACCCTCAAGGAATTAAAAGAAGTACTGATGAATGAGTTTCATAATGTGTTTTGTTCTAAGCCACACTTAAACTACAGCTGATCGCTCGGATTCAAACCAAGTTTCCTGAAAATCAATGTTGATGAACACAGTACACTCAAATATACAGATGACAAAGTGTCGTGCCCTCCCATCCATCACAAAATGCAGAGAAACTTTCAGCATAACTTATTGAAGCCTGAAAGAGTAGACATACACAGTGACTGTCAACTGTTTTTCACTTGTATTCTTTTGTTCCCATTTTGAATGTGGTTAAGTTCATGGAAACGCAGATGCCTCAGTCAGTAAAATCCCAGCATGGGAGTATGGCAGTGAATGTTAACACTGAGATGCCTAATACTTTAATGCAAAGACAGTATTTATGCCAAGGATAAAGATGCACATGTTTTATAAATCTATTTGAATTTAAATTAAAAAGGAATTGAAGAAAACTATGATATTTTACTTCACAACCCTATTATACAGAAAGTGCACTTTTCAAAAAATTGTTTCATAAAGTGCACTAACCTTCAAACTGATACCTGTAAAAGGTGTAACAACTATAACAGAGGGAGGGGGGATATTCTGAAACATAACAGCTGAACCCTTCTTGAGAAGCCAAGAGTGATGCAGCTACTCAGGAACATTCTGAAAAATAAACTTAAAAAAGAGTGGTATCAACTCCAATGGCCACCACATGCAGGATCACCACATTTGGATTTCACAAATGGAAGTTCAGCTTTTCACCACAAAATCAGTAATACATGTCCAGCAATTAGGATTAGAATTAGAAAGGGTTAGGTAACCAACTGCACTTGCACTGTAATCAATATGTATCTATTGTGCATAATACAATATATGGAATATCAACACTTCAACTCATTATATGCATTAACACAAAGCTGTCTTTACAGTAATATCCATTTGGCTCAGTATTTATGTTAATGTAATAAGTTGCTGGTCTGTATGCTAATTTTATTGGTGTAGTGCAATTTATTCGGTTTAATTCTTTTACATTCCAAAATGAAATAGGAGTGGCTTATCTCCCACAGATGATTTCTGTTTCAACTGGAATAGTTTCAAGCTTTTCCCTGTAGATGGTCTTTGGCATTAAACGGTATTTGCTTTCAATTTCTAAATCTTGCTGGTGACCTTGGTTTGAAAGTAGCTCTACTGAAGGGCCCAACAGATGAAGTTTTCTTTTATACTGTGTTCACCTGAAGAAAAAACAGAATCTATAGGATCTATTTCTCACAGCAATGGTCATGAAGCTTTCACTGACTGCCATCATCCACCAACTATACCATTTCTCTAAGACCATTCACATGCTAAAAACTGGTTGTCCTGCCCTTGACATGATGCCAATATAATAATTATAAAAAACTAATGGATGTGATATTTCAATGCCTTTGGCTGCTGGTTGTATAGTGAACTGACAACAGAAAGCTGAGGATGGGGGTAGGAGTGGATTAGTGTTACAATGAAACAAGAGGACAGGAAACATTTCTCGTTGTCTTCTAATGCACATGGTCCAATGATCGGCTCAGGCAGGGGGGTGAGCCCAGACTGGGTAATGTCAGAACAGAGCAAGACTGGCAATGCAGTCACTCGCCCAAGTTCCTTACTAGCGTGTGAACACAGTGATAAATATACATGATCTGCCACATTCACACCATGCCCAGTGCTCTGCCTTTTAATGCAGGTTGAGACAGAAACATTTTGAAACACACATATATATATATTCGCACATCCATAGTCACTAAACCGGTCTACCTTATCAAGAAATGCAAAAAAAACAAAAAAACAAAAAAAAAAAACACAGATTTATAACTCTAAAAATTCAA